AATTGATTATTACGTTTTAAATATGGTTATTTTTCTTACAAAAACGCATTGATTCGCTACAGGAGGACTTTGTTCACCCCCCGCAGCTGTGTGAGACACTTTGTATTAAGGATGGGCACTTTTTATTTAACTTATTTTGGGCTGATGCACTGCAACACCCACTGAGTGCCATTAAACAGCTTGAAAGATCAAAGACAATTTTTAATATAACTCAATATTCCGTGGTCGTGGCTTAATTTTCTACCTATTAGATTGTGTTTTATTAACGTCTACACCTACCCCAACCCTAAACCTACCCCTTACAATAATGAAAAAAAAAAATAAGGTAATTGTTGTTCAGTGTCACAAATTACGCCGTAGCGCCATAGGTATCCCTTCTAGCTTTAACGTCACCAAACTGAAATAAAGTCGGCAGCAACTTTCGGTTCACCCGGATTTAGGCTGCATCCGAAAGCTCTAATGCTGCCTTCAGAGGCAGCATTCCAAGGTTTGATATCCCACAATCCTGTGCGTTCCATTCCTTGACGGTTGAGCTAAAAAAAAAAATAAAGATGGCACCTGAAAGTTGCGTTTGGTGGTCAGTTTGTGTGTAAATGTATATTTCTGACTAACTTCAGAGAGAAATCAGTATTATAGTAATTAAATATTCGTTTAGTTACCACAAAAACTCGGTTCTATTTTGTTGTAGATCATTAAACCGTTATGCTGCCTCAGAAGCCTGTCCGAAGTCAGTTTCATGAGGTGCCTTCGTGCAAAAACGCTGCCTGCAAAGTCATTGCCTCATAGGGCAGCAAGTCAGCTGCCCAAGTTTTTGGATGCAGCCTAATGAATCAGTTGAGCAGCTTCCAGTAGCTGCGACTTTTAAAAAATGTTTTGCGATGAGCTATTTTAGCTATATTTAAATAAAACTAGCGATTTTTGGGAGATTTTTTTTTTACTTGACCACACCCTGCCGCAGGCCCGTGACCTCTCACGTTTGCTCTCAATCATGCCAATGAGTCTGCGGAGTGAACACACCAGTACACCACGCCTGCCATGACGCACACCACAATTTCATTATAAGCATCAATCAAGATGGCGGAGAAAAAAAAATGAACATTTTAACCACGGACACAAAAGTTATACCACAATTCATGCACTGTCATATCAACCAGATAATGAGAGAGAGACACAGTGCATCATCGTGTCATGTGTGCTGGGATGCAGTATTTTGCACTTACTTTGTAGTAATAGTGTGTTGACTGAAAGAAGTTTGTATGAATAAAGTTTTTGGAGAATCATAATATCTCCTATCTGTTGTATTTGAGCAGGACAGGGATGCACTTTGGTGACACAAAACTAATTCCCAACATTATGTGTCTTTTGTGCCTTTCAATCATGTTTGATGTGCTTGCAAGATCACAAGCATTTCCTAATTTCACTTCAAAATTTTTTGTTATACTTAATCTTTTGTTATATCTTTTTATACTGTCATCATTTGTAAAGTGTGTGTATATATATATATACACACACACACACACACACTTTCCTTTACCAAATTTACCTGCATTTACTTTGTTTTCATATTTGGTGACTTCTTGTGAAAAATTGACACTTTTGAGGGTGGTTCTAGAGATTTTCTGAGGGAGGGGTTTGGCAAAACCAGCTTCACAAAACCCGATTCGTTCACGAGGTGGATTGAATCCAAGCACAGTTCCCTCATTTCGAGTCAGCATCATATTAAACCGAAACACTCCCGAATATCAGAACGTTTACAAAATGCATTGCAAAAGACTTATAACAGTTTGAGCAATTAACGTTTAAGGAGACTTGAGAAACGGCAAAAAAAAAAAAAAAAAAAGTTACACAGTACTCGCCTGCAAAACAAAACACTAAAAGC